CAGGTGCTGCCCAGCCAGGGCAGGGCATGGGACAGCCATGGTTCATTGTGGGGGGGGGCAGCTCCTGCCACTGCTTGCACCCTGGGAGGGCACAGCAGGGTGGGGGCTATGGGGGCATGTGCCCCTGCATTTGGGCAGGGTGGGTGGGCTGGAGCTGGGCTGCGCTGGGCTCTTCTTGGCAGGGGCTGGGCTCAGGAAGGGGGCTACAGAGGGGGCTGCAACCACCCCAGACTTCACCATAGCCCTGTTCCCAGTGCTGCCACCACAGCACGCCTGGCGCAGCCCTACCTCTTCCTGGCCTGTGGATGGAGGCAGGGCATTGAGCTGGGGCTGCACCAGGCATGTGGTGACGCTGGGAGCGGGGCCATGGCGAAATTTGTGATGGCTGCAGCCCTGGCTCCAGCCCGCAGCTGCAGTCCGCCCACCTGGCTTCATGCAGATCTGGGGGCACATGCACCCCTCCCCGTGTCCTTCTGGGGTGCAAGCAGTGGCAGGAGCTGCCACTGTCGCCACCCCCCCCCCAAGCTGCAGCTGTCTCATGCCCTGCCCTGGCTGGGCAGCACCTGCCCCTATCCCTTCCTTCTCCATAGGGTGGGGGGGAATGTTGCTCTGCTCCCCACCACACTTCTTCCCTGCCCCCTCCCCTTCCACCATACCAGACCTCCAGCTGCATGCAGCTCTCCGCATACTGCTGGGTTGTGCTCCTTGCATGCATGCTGCACTGTGGCTGCACACACGGACGAGCGCTTATCGGCCACATTGGGCTGATATCCAATACAGCCAATTTTCTTTATATCGGTACCAATCTGATATCAGACCAATGTATCGGTCCACCTCTAATTGGTAGTCTTTGTTCTCCAATTGAAAACAAAGACTACCATGTTACTGGAGTATTTCTCTCTATTAACATTACACAGCTCTTACTCTGTATCTAAATCCAAATGTAAGGATGTGCATAGGATAACATTGCCACAATCACAACAGAACTTCTTTTGCCATCATTCCCCAAAGCTATATTGACCCAGATGTTTTGGGTTTTTGTTTTTTAATGTTATCCATGCGCCTGCCTCCTCCCTTCCCTCTCTCTCCTTTTTAAATGGTGAAATATACTTAAAGGTCACGGGACATTTTAACTCTTTGTGACTTTTCCAGGAGAAACATGTTCTTTCATAGCTGTGTTCCAGTTAGGCTTGCCTTTTTACCGTGGTGGTGTTGCCCTTCTAACATTTCATGTCCTACATCAGTAGCCTAGAACAGGGGGCCAGCTTTTTTTGGTAGGCATGCCACAAATTAGTCCTTTACCCTCTGACTGCTACCCCAATCCCCTTTCTCTACCCCATCTGCTGCTCTGCTTTCTGCTCTCCAATTTGCTCTCTGCTTTGTCTCCTGACCTGCTTTCTGCCCTATCTGTGGCTATACTGCCTGTTCCTTCTGCCACACACAGGCTGCCATGCCACTTGCAGCATGTGTGCCTCAGATTGGCCACCTGTTATCGAGAATCAGTAGCACCTTCTTCCCCCCCATTTTTTAACTTCCTACTATTCAACCAATAATGCTTTTGACTACAAGTTTGAGGGAAGACTGACTAATACTTGCCCCCCCCAAACACTTTTCACAAAAAGAAATCTGTCTTCAACTACCTACTGTATCTGTTCTTCCTCAGGAAATGATTGAAGCCATCAGAGAAGCAGTAATCTACTTGGCACATACACATGATGGAGCCCGGGTAGCTATGCACTCTTTATGGCATGGCACACCAAAGGTATTATGCACAGCTTTTGCCTATCCAGCCTCATCTTAGAAGTTTTAGGTTTTGAGCTCTAGGCTGAAATGTAGATTTTTGTCTGTGCCTGACTCTTTGGTTGCACATTAATTGGGCAGTTGATATTTAGGGGTACAGAAGGTCAAAATACAGAACATGATTGGTGCCTTAAATGGTTAAAAAGATAAACTAAAATACTTTCTATTAACTAGTTCTTATGTTTTGGGGTTTCTCCTTCAAGATTAGATGATATGCAAAACCATGTAAGGAGAGCAGAGCAGAGAGCCATGTTTAAGTGTAAGGGGCATCATGCACTTTTGCTGGAGTACTATAGAACTAAAATTTTGCTTATACATGGAAGGGGAAAGGTCTTTCACATGGAGGCAGTAAACTAAGTGCTTGAGCTCTGTGGCCTGCCAACTTAAGAAAAAGTGGTAAAAGAGAGACTTCAGCGATGTGGATGGGGCCAAAATGCAAGTAAGAGACCCTAGGGGTTCCTTTCTTTGGACTTTTCCACTTATTTTGGTGTAACACTTCACTTAGGATTAAGGTCTTTAATTAATAAATGAAAATGTAACACCTGTAATAAATGAACTGATACTAAGCATTTAGCTGTCAGTAGCATCTTAGTTGCTGTAAATTGTTACCAACTGATGTTTCTCCTTTTTTTTCTTTGGATAGGACAGGAAAGTCATCCTGAAAACAATGAAGACTTACATTGAAAAAATAACTACTGTGAGTGATTTTAAAAACGTTAACTTAAGTAGTTACTGCAACATTTTCATAATTGTCAAGTCGTTCCCAGTTTGAATGTACTCTGAGCTGAGAAGAAACTTGGAACCAGCTATCTGAATAGGAAAATTGTTACAAAGCCTCCTGTTTAAGTGCAAAAACAAACATTTTGGGCTTTATAGAAAAGTTTCCTTCTTCCAAAGTGTCATATTTGTTCTGTTCAGGGATATACAGCGATGATGTCTCTATGTAAACTATTCAGCTTTCTCCGTTAATGGAGATAGGTTAAATGACTGGTTGGTTTATTTCAGTATAACAGTTCTTTTACTGTTATGTGAAAGTGTGCAGCATGTATACATGTCTCTCTCTCAGAAGTGGCCCACAATAGGCATTTAGGAACCTAAGAATTGTGTAAAGACCTCTTGTTTGTCTGGAAGCTTAAATTCTGGTCCAGCTTCCGTGGAAGTTGCTGAATGAGTCCCATTGATTGTAGGTTTGGACTTAATCAAGACTTGCTCCTCAAAGGTGGTGACTACTAAGGGGTGCAAAATGGGCCCTATTCAATCCAGATTTGGCCCGCATCAGGGACAGTGATTTGATTCATTGATTCGGATCATTATCCCCAGTTTTGATTCAGCTGAATCCAAATCTGAAGATTCGATGCTGATTTTGGAGAATCAGCAATTCGGCCATAGACACAGCTTAAAATGTTTCAATTTTTTTTTTTCATACCTTGAGGTACCAGGTGCAGTTCATGGATGCTGGGATGGATGGAGCAGCCCACAGGAGCGGGGGGCTGGACAGGATGTTCCATCCACCCCAGCATCACAGCATTCACGAACTGCCTGGTACCTTGAGGCATGTTGAGAGAACATTTTAAAGCTGTCTCTGTCTGAATCTTTCTTTAATCGATTTGGAGGGTTCCAGTTTGATTTGGAGAGATTAAAGGGTCTCCTGGTTCAATTTGGATTTGGAGATTCAGCCTCTACACAGCCCTAGTAACTACCTTCAGTTGTAAAGCAAATCTGTTCTACAAATAAAATCATCTTTTTTCTTAAGGTAGTTTTTTTAAAGAGACTTCTGATTTTACAAATCAATGTGTGCATTAAATTCAGTTGGTTACATAGGACATTAATAATCAATGTTGTGCACTATGTTGCTGTCCAGACAGGGTGATGCATCAATTTATAGAGGCATCTCCAGATTCTTAGCATTCCTAATTTAAACTCAAGGGTACTACTTCCTTCAGAAAATAGCTAAGACTGCTAACAATAGATTTAAATCACTTTCCAGCTCTTGGAGTAGCTGTCACACTTGGGGCAGATTGTCATCATTGCTGACCTTTAGGAAATTACTTACCATGTACATTCCTTGCATTGTATGTTTTTAAAGTGTTTTGGTTTCTGGTACTTACAGGGTGAATTCTCTCATTTGGTCTTGCTTGCAGCGTTTGATTGCATTGATGATACCAAGTTGATGAAACAACTAATCATATCTGTAAGTAGCTGAATTTTCCTAAAATATTATATTAAGTGTTATGAGTGCAATTAGGAGAGATTAATAGCTTTTAAGCTATTGCAAGGGGTGTTCCAGAGAGGTTTTCAGATATCTATTTATCTTTCCATATTTATTTCAATCTGTATTTTGACTTCCCCCCCATCCCCTACCCCTGTTTAGAAGAGCTTGGTGAAAGACTACTTATTAATGTTGTTCTTGTATTTTTACTACAGTCTTCAAACCCAGATTTCTAGCATATCATCTTTAAAATAAAATATTTCACTTGATTTCATAACATTTTAGGTAGTGGGGAACAGGTGGTGGAAGGGTAAACAGTTGGGGATGGAGGAGATCAGGTGATGCATGTGGGAGTCAGACAGCCTGACCCTTGCCACCTGGCCCTGCCCCTCCTCCTGCCACTTATCCGTTAGCTCCAACCTCAGGGCTGGGCTGGGCTGGGCTGGGGCAAAGCAACCACATGCTCTGTGCCCTGGGCTGAAGCAGTGCTGGAGCCAGAGGGTAAATAGTGGGTAGGGGTTGGGGCTGATGTGTTGGGGAGAGAGACTGGGACAGGGTTGGAACTTCCCCCTGTGTTGGGTGGGGGGTACCTCACCTTGGATTCAAGTATTTATTTTCTTTTTCTTTAACATTCTCTGGGTTGGATTGAAAGCCAGCACTTGTGACTGGGAATGAAGATAAATGGCTGTCAGGAAGCGAGATTCTGTAGTGGAAAGAAATACAAAGGATTGGTTTGGGGTGTTAAGAACATAGCTTTGGGAGCCCTGCAGTATTTGTCAAAGTGAATCTCTCTCTATTTGTATTGTCTTAAGAACTGAGCCCCTACTTGGATGGCAGGCTATTTATTTGTCAGGAAATTCTTTAAAATTCTTCTCAAACTCCTATAGTACAGTCATGTTTCCCATCGGCTGCCTTGGCTATACAGCCCCTCATGTTTGGGTATTGTAGTCACATTTATATTTCAGCATTTATATAAAGGTCCCTCCTGGTCCTATTTTAAATTGGTACCCTTAGAGGGCTTGCCACTTGTTGGAACATGTGAATCAACTGAAGAAGGACTTCAAAAAAATTATTGTAGACACAAGGTCTGTCTGTATTTTCTGTCAAGACTATGAGAGAGAGAGCGAGAGAGAGATTAGTTTGAAGGCATATAAAAGACAGAACAGGCTAGCACCTGAACTGGTCCAGAGAGGCATAAGCTACTTCTGACTAAACACAAATAGGCTCTCGCCTACAAAAGTTTTATGCCTTTCTGAACCAGTTAGTCTGTAAGCCTATAACATGTGAGCTATTGACAATGTCAATGTGACTGGTTCTCTTAGATTTTCCCCTCACCCTATTTTTGTGCAGTCCTGCAACTGAAAGCTACAAAATCCCTTAACCCAATTCATACTTAAAGCGGTTAAGGTTATACCTTGTTTTGGCTCCGCAAGGTACATTTGTACTCTCTTGAAAATGTACATGATGTATGTTGAATTCAGAATCAATACCTACAAATGCCATTTTTCTAGTTCTTTTATTATTTTGTCATAAAAAGATCTTTTGTTCCTAAACTAACCAGTTGATAACCATGTTCAATTCGAAATACCTTGGTTCCTTTGTCCACCTGATGTGCATGTGCACTTGCATGTATATTTTGTGAAATTTGGAATGATAGTCTGCAAGTTCCAGTCCTGTTGAGATAAGTGTGCGGTTTTATTTGCTTTGAGAATATACTTCTCTGTTAGACTGAAGTTTGGAGGCTACAGAATTAGCATACTGACTAATCCATCAGCCAGTTCCAGACAGTACTCGGTGCATCATTAGGCAGTGAGAGGTGTGCATTTTTCCACTTAAGTTCCCACTTTAAGCTATAGCAATGGAGCAGGTATCTTGCCATCTTTTGCCCACTACTAGCCCCTGCCAAAATGTCACCTGTTTCCCAAAGCAGATGCTAATAATGAGTCAAGAGGTACTGGTTGTTCACTTCATCTTTCTTTTGGCAGCTGTTGTTTCCAGCACAGAAATCCTTCCAACTAGGGATTTTAAGGGATTTGGAGAGCAGCTGTTAGTTACTTTCAACATATTCTATAGCCCATGTTGTAAGTGCCTGGAGCTCTGTAATGCCATCTCTTATGTATTTATTTTTTAAAGTATTGGGTGTAGGCACAAAATGACTGTCACCTTTTTCTTTTTTGATTTTTCTCAGCCAGTGGGCAGGGTGCTAAATCTCTAGCAATCCCCTGCACTTTGAAGGCAACATTGTATTGCCGAAGAAAACAAAATCCTATACCCACAAAGTAGGAAGAACAGAACATGAATACACTCAGATAGGTGCTTTCCTATTATAGAATCATAGAGAAGTAGGGCTGGATGGGACCTCCAGAAATCATCTAGTTCAACCCTCTGCCTGAAGCAGGATCATGCCTATCCAAACCATCCTATACAATCTGTCTAAACTTTACATAAGACTTCCTTCAACCCTGACACAGCACAGACCATAACCAGATAAAGTGGGCAAACCATGGCAGCAAATGCCCGCTTCTATGAAATATTGATATATGCTCAAGCGATCCCTGGTAGAGGGCCATGCCTCCCACTACAGAGGAAGGAAAGAACACCCCCAGTCTGTACCAATCTGACCATAGGTTTTTTCCTTCCTGACCTGTGAATAAACAGGCACCCTTCTGTAAACAAAAAACCCCCAGCATTGTGAATGTGTGTGTGTTGTTTTTTTTTCCTCCCTTGACCTCTGTAAGAACTCTTGGGCATGGTCTTAACTACATGGTGCTTACTCTTAGCCTTCCATTAATCCCTTGCAAGTGCCCTGTGCTTTTTATCTCTGCTTAAATAAGCTGCTGAAAGGAAGAAGTCAGGCTTGCTGTCTTCCTGAGAACTGTTGATTTACTGTTTAAATGGCTTTTGGTCACCTGAATTCAGGATAGTGTCTTCCTAGGTATCCATAATACATGCCTTCTGATACACAGATGGGCATGTGGTTTATAGCTACCACTTGTATGAGTGATCTGGTGTGACTAAGATGTTATGAAGTCTGTTAAATTGTAACCTCTTGGGGAAAGATTTATTCTGTCTAACCCATTTGGCTCTAGGCACTCAAAATAGGAATTGTACTTATAGATGAGTAATATATTTCATTTTGGAGTTTTTTTTTCATTCAACATTCTTTACTTTTTTTTTTTTTTAATGCCACTCTCCCCAAAAAGGCTCAGAGTGGCTAGTATTGACAAACCCTACGTGGAACTTTTGTGCTGATCTAGGCTTTCAGGTTTTTCTTAATGGTTAAATCATCAAGCCTAAATTGTGGTATCTTTCTTTCCTCTCCCCAGAATCAGAGTGCAGGTTTGTTTGTGGAAACTGTTTTTCTACTGCTTTTATGTTGATGTCTGTTAATACTTACAGGAAATAAATGCTACCCTCCCCAATATAATAAATAACAAATATGGAAGGAAGGTTCTATTGTACTTGCTAAGCCCAAGAGATCCTGCCCATTTCCTGCCTGAGATCATCAAACTATTACAACAGGGGGATGGAAATGAATACAGGTAAGTGAGGAAATGCAAGTTTTGTGTGCTTTTTGTTTTGTTTTTCCCCTGAAGGAATTGTAAACTACTTACTTAAACAGTGCCCACCAAAGCTTGAGATCACACCGGGATTTCCATAGTAGAATAATGGCATACCCAGTAAGGAAATGAAATTGGGTGAAGTTAGCTTTGTAGCAAGAGCTAACTGTACTTGGCCAGTGACCTTGAATTTAAAGAGTATAGTGTAGTTTTAAACTTTTCATATTCTAATTGCCTAAAACCTGCACATATGGAAGTTCATTAAATCCAATTTACTGTGTAATAGAGAAAAGTGGCCATATGTTAGGCCCACAGGTGTCTAACTAGAAAATGCAAGTTAAATTGATTTTTATTTAACCTGCCATATGAAGCAACTTTCCTGTAGTAATAAGGCCACCATATTGGGCACACTGTCTTTTTCACCAGTAAGAAAGATGTAGCTACCCGTCGTCATGAACTCTTGGAAGCCATTTCCCCCTCTTTGTTGACATATTTGCAAGAAAATGCCCAAGAAATGGTGATGGACAAAACTACATGTGTCTTGGTGACAGACATCTTAGGATCAGCTCTTGGTGATGTCCAGCCTGCCATGGATGCCATTGCTAATTTGGCAACAGAAGAGCTGGTTCCGGGTGGCAAAGATGGACAGGTAATGCATCTAGTTGAAGCTTATTTACATTTAAACAATGTTTGGGTTTTTAGTTTGTTTAACCACAACAGTGCTGCTATTAAAACATGTTAATAACTTGTTAACACGTTAAACTCTAGGAGTTCCAATAACCCTTTAGCAATGCATGTAAGGTTTTGACCATGTGGAAGACCTACAGATTTGCATAGAGGCAGTTAAATAAGGAAACCCTAATAAATGGGAGTTGAAAGAGTGTGAGAGGGAGCAGAGAACGAGTTGGCTAAGGAGGAGTAGTACAGGTGATTTAATGCAGACCGTGAATCAGAAATGGAGAGGGTTGCTTAGGTTAATTAGAATAGCTGTAGATGAAGATTGGAATGAGCATTTAAACACAACCCTACACTTGTGAATGTTTTGGTATTTGCTTATAACTACCAGTTAAAATAGCCCAGGGCAATGTGTGTTGTGGAGGGAAGCAGGTGTTTGTATGCATTTGACGACTTTTAATCTGTTGGCATTGATTTGTTTATTTTTAAAAGCTTCATGTTGCAGAGCATCCAGCAGGTCATCTGGTTCTGAAATGGTTAATAGAACAAGATGAAATAATGAGGAAGAGTGGAAGAGAAGGTAAGCTTAGATATTCATCTTTTAATGAAAGATGTGTGAGCTCTCAGCGGGATTAGATGAGTTTAATTTTAAACAGAAAAAGAGGTAGGGAAAAACCCCCACGGCTTTCTTAAATGGATATCAACATATGGAAAAGGCAGAGAATGTGCAAGAAATAGATTTAAGCGTACATAAGATGACCATCTGATACCTTCAGTTGTCACCAGCTATATCAGAGTGTGGGCAAAATACTGCCCACTAAGTGATAGCCATATCTGGCCCACAGCAGTTTCCTTGGCCCTGCCTGGCCTAGGTGCAGGGGACAGCCTGGACCATGATGCACAAGGCTAGACCTGCTCCTCTGGGTATGGAGGTGCTGCCTGGCACAGAGTGCAGCCACCCTATCCCTCCGTGCAGCTCTGGGGCATGCCAGGAGCTGTAGTCCACAGGGCTGGGTGGAAGGGCTTTGCAACAGCCCATGCAACAGTGGCTCACTCTACTTTCACACGTCCAGCTCCTGCTGCTGCCAGCGTTGCCGCTGCTGCTGGCCCTGGCCCTGCTGCCCAGGCAACCCAGCCAGTCCACCCTGCTCCCACCACTGGGGTGGGTGGGCAGTCAGGCATGTTTTCCATGAAGACTGACCCAGGACTCTTGTGGGCAGCCTGACGCTTGGCTGGACAGATGGCGTCTGGGAGCAAGATAGGCAGGTGGGGCCAGGATCGCCAGGTGGTGACTGTGGGGCTAGGGCCTAGGGCAGAGCCACAGTCCTCCCCACCTGCCAACGGAACCAGCTCACGTTGCAGGGAGTGGATCTCAGCTCTGCCCCAGGCCTCGGCCCCTAGCCTTGCTCTGTCACCTATCCCAGGATCCTGGCCTCGCTTGCCTGTCCTGCTCCCAGATGCTGTTCCCCATCCACTTCCTCTGTACCCTGCCCATTGGGTCCCAGGCCTGTCTCAATGGAGATGCCACCCTCCCACTCCATCTGTCACACCCCAGTGATGGGTGGGGAAGGGCCGGGGCTGGGATCAATTGGCATTTTCACTCTCGTCCCCCAATAAGTTATTAATATGAATAAATATTCATGAACTTATAATCATTTCCGTTATGGTGGGTTTGTGGCAATTCTGCTCTGTAGAGGCTGTAAAATGGGGTTCCATATTTATCATGTTGTAATCTATTTCTGAATCAAATGTGTTTTTAAATTTACAATTTTTAAAAACTGCATTGCTAAAAGCCAGCTCTACAAACTTGGCCTGGGTTTGAAAGTCCAATTAGGTTTTTCATTGTCATACATTACCAGTACTAATAGTTTTCTGAGACCTATTATGCCCTCAGTGATACACGAGTAAACTCCATTGCTTCAGTAGTGTTGAACAGCTGCTGCATCTTGTAATTGAAACTTGAAGAATAATTCTGCTGGTGATACCAAAAAGGGAAAAGAACCTTCCTTCTTGGTTATATTTATTGCAGGGTTAACAAGTAAAATGTAATAACGTTTTGTGAGTAAAGTAAGTAAAAATGGCTTTACACAGGAAAAAGCTGTTTTTTAAGAAGGTCCCATTTTCAGTGAGCCCATTTTTGGTGTGAACACGTTTTCAAAATATGAATAGTTCTAGGTATTCTTTTAAGAAGAACTACCAGTGGGTTTTCATACAGCCTAATGCTGCTTATTGTCTAATTAATTCAGAGCGATGCTTAAACCTGGTTTTGTGTGTGTAAAGGTATTGACTGTATTGAATAGCCAATTATTTTGAGTGTTAGGAAAAACATGTAAATATTGAATGGATAAAAACTGTTTGATCTGATCACTGTTGCAGAGGATTTATTTAATGTTCTCTGGCTTTTTTTGTCTCCTAACAGAGTGTTTTGCAAGAACGCTGGTAGAACATGTCAGTATTAAGAAAATGAAGTCCTGGGCAGAAGTCAATCGAGGTGCCATTATTCTTTGTTGGTATGTAGGATATGCATCTTTCCCTAATTATATCTCAAAGTTAAACTTCTGTGTAACCAGAGAGAATGCCCTTTAAAGTTTTCAACCAAAGAGCTGGTTTTCAATCACTTGCTTACTAGCACTTGTGCTGCTTGCTTTTAATATGATATTTTAATGCCCATTCTTTAGAGCAAAGCACCAAGTACATGTGAACACAGACCAGAACTTGTAGTTGTTCCCTCAGGCTGAGGTACTATTATGAAATAGTTCTGTGCTGGAAAACCTTCTAAAGACTGAAAAACAAATCTATTTCTGTAAGAAATAAAAACATTTCTCTGTGTCCTCGCCAGATGTACAAAAATCCTAGAAAAATAGGCCAATTAAAGCTAAGTATTTATGGTTCACAGGTGTATCTGTGTTAATAGGCAGCAAGCATCTAGGTGCCCTGGCAGATGTTACATTTATGACATGATGCATTACATATAACTAGTCACCCTGTCACAAGTTCAGGGAATTAAAAGGAATGACAAAACAAGAAACCAACTGCAAAAATGTTCCACAACATGTGGGATGTGTTTGTGGCTGTTTGTTATCATGCCTTAAATTGAACGTGTACCATCTGATTGGACCATCCCTCCCTCCCATGTGAGCAGGCTGACAGCCGCATAGTCTAACCTTACATGGAGCTGTATCTTGTATGGTTTTCAGTGTGCTGAGGTACAGGGAGCTGGGCTGAGGTACCAGATCACAGTGAATTCACCATGACCTGGCACTTAAATGTGTCCTGTCCTGCACCACCCAAGGGAGCTGTGGGGTCAGACAGCCAATCAGCTGGGCTTGTCTGCCTTGCTGGGTGCATTGGAAGGTTAAACTCCATGGTTGGGGGTGCCTTAGACTCCCCTGAATGGGAACCTTGCTAAGTCTTTATTGGGTTGCAAGGTTTCTGCTAAACAATGGCACAATTAGGATCAGTCCCTCATCCCAACAGTCCCACGTCCTACCATGCATATAAGAGTTGATATGTTTTTTAGAGTACACTTGGCAAAAGTTTATTAGGCCAACTTTCTCACTATGATAAAGGAATGAACCATGCAACTGCTGTGTCTTTACTGATCTCACCAGGATTAGACCATTGTGCTGTACACTGCTTCTATGTAAATACATCTATTGGCATTTAAACAATTGCCAGTTTCATTCTGAAACCAAATTTTTCACCATCTGGTCAAGAAATCGGGGAATTTAGTAACTTAAACCCTCAGCATTTAACTCGTGAAGTTTTGTCGGATCACAGAATTCCACTGTTGGCTATGTGCTGCTGTGGCTAGATTGCCTTCATTTAGATGTAGCACAGCACTACAGTGTGCAGCGCACACATTCTAGACCCTCTTGTCTCTTTCCTCTTTGCTTTCTGACTCTAATTTCTGTTGCCCGGTATACTGATACTCATGCTACTTTTTATAAATAGCTAGCAATGGTTGAATTGATGATGAAAAATCATTATATACTAAGCTTAGCTCTAATTTACTCTGCAAACTTCAGTAGGATCGTTGTTGAAGGGAACTGGTAGCACAAAACACAGTTAGATTGAAATCTCTCTACAAGCTTATTTTACTTAACTGCATTGTGGGAGTCCTATGGGACAGGCTGTGGAAATTTGTTTGATTTAAGCTATCTTACCTTTTTCATCTTAACTTTCAGAAACGGATCTATTAACGTATAATAAATGTATTTAATTCCTTTTAAATTTGCTAATCCTATGCGTAGTTTAGAATGTAGTACATGAAAATTTTCCATGATTTAGAGTTGTATGATTTAATTTCATTGGTCCTACTGCTCGTTTTCTCTATGCAGTATCTTTTTACTAAAAATTTATTTTCATAATGTAAGCTGACAGTTTTGAGAAATATTAATGTTTATCTTCTGCTTGCACTTTGATAAAATGGCACAGGTCTTGCTGCCACAGATTGATCCCAAAACAAAGTTACTTCTGGGGGGTTCACTGTGTTCACTCTGAACAGGTATTTTCGCAAATTAGGTTTATGGTTGTGGTGTCTAGTCTCATTATTGTTAGTGCAAAGCTACTTTCAGTTTTATTCTTATATCTATATCTGTTATAGTGTTTGATGTAAATGCAGTTTAGATGCATCTTGATATTACAGCCAAAGTGGATTTAGTAAGGTGGTGATTAACTTGAATGATTCTGACTTATTCACACTTAGTCTGTGGCTGAGAATTAGCGTTTGACTTGGTTTATTTATTAGTCCTCCATGGCAACGGTGCTAAACCTGAATCTGGACAGATGGTGATGAGTTTTAAATTTTAAAAGAAGGGTTGAAAGAGTGACACCTGGCCACTCGGAAGCAGATCTGCATGGGTCAAAAGGATACAAATGTCTAGTCTGGTAAATAAGTATTTTCTGGTATCAGGAGGTTACTGGTCTAGTGCGAGTCCCCTAGAAATGGAGGGGTGGCATATCTTAATAGCCAGACCAGCAAAGCTACTTTAATCCAACCTTGAAAGCGTGCCTTGGCCTTCAGTTGTCTTAGGTACAAAGTAGGGTCTATGGTCCGCTGGCCAAGAAAAGCTGATGGGGAGATGCAGGAAGCCCTGACAGCTGCATTTAGACTGTGAAGCTGGCTAAGGACTGCAACTTTGTATTTTAGATACTGGGTAAGAACAGGTTAATATTTGTTTACTTCCATATCTGTTTTTATCTCAAAATATGGTTGCCCATTCCTTATGTGTGTTCTCATTTTGTAATAAATCCTTTCATTTGTTTCTTTCTTTGCTGATTTTGCTTATGGAAGGGGTCACTTTTTGAGCAGGTGATTATTGTAGGATAACCTCCACAAAAGGTGACCTGTAATTTCTTCTCGACCCATAAACCATGTGGCCACCTGGGGGCTGGCAGAGATTCCTTATACTGAACCCTGCAGATACCGCTAAGGGCAGTGGAATAGAGGCATGCTGTGATAGAGAGCCATTCTAGGGCAACCTCCAGTCTTCCTTGGAGGCAATGGCAGCACAGTGGGGGAGAAACTTGGGGCTGCTAGGGGTCCCCTGCGGCCAGGTTTGTAATAATTGCTACCATAGAATCTGATTCTCTTGGCACTTTTGGATGAAATAATCTTTGCCTTTCTGTAAGTGTCCTATTTAAAGACCACAAGATGGTCACATATGTGTCCCAACCAAATATGAATTCATTTGATTTTGTAATTTGTTTGTAAAATGCTGCATCTCCTCTGAAGTCTCAGAAAATTAACAGGCTTATCTCTAGTATTTGAGACTGGGTAAGAAATTGAATATTTCACGGGATGAGCACAGAGCTTTTTAATTGCTTCCTTACCGATTCAGGCCAATAGTAATCTTAGTTAATTTCTTGCTGACAACCATCCACTCAAAGAAAACACAAAACCTAGCTCTAACACACCCATGTCTAGTTTCAGTGAAGAGGCCAAGGATACAATGTAAACAGACTTTAGCTGCTGTTGTATCTGGTATCTTTGGCTCATTATTCAGATGCAATGGTTTCCTGAGCGTGGATTGTTGCTGCTCTGTGGCTCAAAAGACAACTTTAATTTCCAAAGCTGTAAATCTGACATCTTTTATTCACCCTCCCCAAAGAGAGGGAAAGAGATACTTGAGCATGTGTTTGTACTAGAATATCCATGTTTTGATCACAGCTGAATTTTTCTAAGTAGGAATTCTTTCATGTACTGTACACTTTGCAGGTCTCTTATTGCTCCTTATGCGTAACATGATTTTCTTTTGTTTAACAAATTGATAGAACCCACAAACTTCAATCTGCTTTTTTCCTTCTATTTTATGCAGTGCCCATTTAACTTCCAGGACGTATTATAATTAATCTCATCCATATTTAATTGCATTTAATTTAATCTAGTGACTGCCTAAATTATACAACAGGGTTGAGTTCAAAAAGTGCTCTAATCAGATGCGAGTAATGACTGCCATCGATTTTTTTTTTTTTTTTTTTTTTTTTTTTTTTTACATAAAATGTTACTGAAATGCAAAAAGAGCTGTACCTGTAAAAGCTGCCATGGTATCTCTGTTGTCTGTCTTCTTTTGCCATTAAGTTGTGCAAATGGCTATAGAATATTGTCTAACTTGCTTATCTGTATCTATATATCCACAAACCAGATCCACTGCTGCAAGCAGAAATGGCACACTTAGAATATATATATATATATATATATATAAATCCAGACCTGAATGGCTTATATGTGCAGCTTAACAGTCACCATAGCACATTACTGGTATGCTCTAATATTTGAACTTCAGGTACTTCTGTTGCCCATTTAGATCTTTTTAAATAAATTTAAATCCAATTATTCTCCATATAAGTATAAATTTAGAAGTAGCTCCACTGAAATAAGAGGAATCTTCAAGTTCTTTAGTGAGACCATCTTTGCCTCCATTTTTCTGAGCAGGGACCAGATCAGCCCCCACACTGGGACCCTGTAGGCCCCAGGGGAGGCGCACCCAGGCCTATGGTCAGTGAGGATCTAGTCAGGGAACTTCTGGAGGGACTGGACATATTTAAATCAGCTGGTCCAGATGATCTCCACCCCCAGAGTGCTGAGGGAATTAGCTGAGGTCATTGTGGGGGACCCCTGGTATGGCTTTACGAGCATTTGTGGTGCTCTGGCATGGTGCCAGCAGACTGGAAAAGGGCCAATGTGGTTCCCATTTTCAATAAAAGGAGGGAGGAGGACTCGGGAAACTATAGGCCAGTCAGTCTTGTGTTGATCCTGGGTAAGCTTTTTGAGAGAATTATCTTGCTGCATGTCTGCGAGGGGCCAGCAGGGGAGATTATGCTTAGGGGCAACCAACACTGGTTCATTTGAGGCAGGTCCTGTCAGACCAACCTGGTGGCCTTCTATGACCGGGTCACAAAATCCTTAAATGCAGGGGTAGCAGTG